TCATTTGCATATCACTGCAGAGTGGAGTGGCTGCCACCCAGGCTTCTGGCCGCAGAGCCAAGACATTTACATGCTCGCCCCGGGCAGAGGAAGGGGGCCCTGCTCCAGGATGGCGTTTCCGTGATCTCTCTGGGGAATGGACCTTCAGGTGCAGGGCTAGCCACCTCACTTTTTAAGTACGAACAGTCTTTCACTTTTCCCATTGTGGATGCAAACTCTTTCTAAAACGTGGCACGTGCTTCTCTGCCTTCTTAGACACAGATTTTAAATAACATTAAATGTCAGTGTCGGTGGCCGCAGGACAGGAGGGCCTTCCGTCACAGCAGGCATGCGGCTGCGGGAGGTGCCCACGTGCCTGGGACTCTGCCCTTCCTGCGTTCACAGCCGCCTGTGGCTCGTCCTCGGAGGCCTCTTTGCTCTCTGCAGAGTTGAAGCACCTGAGCCGGTCAATGGGACGGTCCTGGGCAGGAGTGTGGCCTCGCTGCCTGGGCCTGTGGAGGTGGCTGCCCTGCTGGCCTCCACCCTGTTCTATTCCTCTTCCCGCTCCTCTGCTCCTTTCTCCCGGGACAAACGCTGGGGACCATCCTCATCTTGGAGGATTCCTGGGATCCCAGTTAAGACCTGGCACCTCCAACACGTGAGCAAGGCGGGAGAACGCGGGAAGGACTGGCAGCCTGGCAGGTGGGGGTGGCCGGGGGAGCTGGCCCGGGGAGCTGGCCCTCACTGGGGCTGCTGGTTCAGGTGTGACTTCAGGAGTCACGCTGGTTCACGTGTTCCAGGAGGAGGGGCCCCAGGCTGTAGGTGCCCAGAGGCTGCTGATACGCCACCAGCCCCTCCAGGATCAAGGGCTGTGCTGACATCAGGCCTGCCCAGTGGAGAATCACTCGGAAATTCCCTCCAAAGCTCTGGAACCCCAAGCACTGCCTCCATTTCCCAGGGCCCTCCAGCTCGCAGAGCCCTGCCTGCCGGGGGCTGGGCCTGTGGGCAGGAGACCCCTGATTTTCTCCTTCATCCAAAGAACAAAGAAGAGTGTGCTCTCCCGGAGACCTCTCCCGCTCAGAAGAGGACCTGGGAGGGCGGTGCGGGCCCGGAGGCCCCAGCAGGATCCCGAGCGCTGGAGGAGTCCCCTCTGAGAGCTGGGCTTGCACGGCCCTGCGCTCCGAGGATTTAAGGAGTCAGCGACCCCAGCCCCATTGACAAGCCACACAGAAACGAAAGCGGCCACACCCCTCCCCAGAAAGCGGATGCTGGGAGCCCCCAAGACGCAGAGCACCAGGCCTGTTTCACAGCTTCCTGCCCCGAACCCGCGCCGTGTACTGGACGTGCCTTCCTGCGCTTTGCATCCTTAATGTACCCCAGTTTTAATGTTAACTTTTCGTTTCAGTGCCTCTGATTGAAGATGGCAAGTGTTGACTGAAACCAAAGTTAAAATTGTATTGACTGAAATTCATAAAACCAAATGAGTGTGAAAGAAATGTAAATAATTAAGCTCTCAGGTGATGTTTCCATGCGTTTGTGGCTCGCACATCTGCACATACATATACCGTGTGCTGGTCACCACGTGGGTCTTGCACAGCGAGGTTTCAGCGTGCGTTATTCTCCACGTGTTCTGAACTCTGTGTGGAAGGACGTGGCTCCGGTGCCCTCGTCTCAGCTTCTCCGTGGATTGTGTCTTACACATGCTCTGCTGTTTACGTCCCTATCCCAGGTTCACGGACACTTGGCTCACTAGGCCTCCCTGTGCACGTGTGCAGACGACAGGCCCACTGCGGGCCTCTAGGGACGTGGGTCCCGACTCCACCCACACGGGCAGCGCCCACTGCCTCCTTGCCATCTTACGTAGGCATGAGCTGAGCCTTTGTTGTTGTTGTTAGAGGCGGAATCCCTCTCTGTCGCCCAGGCTGGAGTGCAGTGGTGTGATTTTGGCTCACTGCAACCTCTGCCTCTCAGGTCCAAGTGATTTTCCTGCCTCAGCCTCCCAAGTAGCTGGGATTACAGGTGTGCACCACCACGCCCAGCTGATTTTTTGTATTTTTAGTAGAGATGGGGTTTCATCACATTGGCCAGTCTGATCTTGAACTCCTGACCTCAGGTGATCCACCTGCCTTGGCCTCCCAAAGTGCTGGGATTACAGGCGTGAGCCACTGTGCCCGGCCACGATGGCTTTTCTTGTTATCAGGGTCTGTGGAGGATCAGAGCACTCAATGGGCCCTTAGTGAAACTCACATAGCATAAATTAACCACACTAAAGTGCGTGCCTCAGCAGCGTTTAGACCATCACAGTGTCACGCAGCCGCCACCTCCGTCTCGTTCCAAAGCATCGTCCTCCCTCCCCATGGGGACCCCGTACCCACAAGGAGCCACTCCCCTCCCCCGCTCCAGCCCCAGCCCCTGCCTCCACGATCCACTTCCTGCCTCCGTGGACTCCCCTCCCCCCGCCCCAGCCCCTGCCTCCTCGATCCACTTCCTGCCCCCATGGAGTTGCCTCTTCTGTTCCTTGCATGCGGACGGGGGGCGGCCTCTTGCACCTGGCTCCCTGCCCTCGGTGCCACATTTCCACGGTTCCTCCACGTCTCAACCTGTGTCAGCCTCGCTCCTTCCACCGGAATCGCGGTCCACAGCCTGGACGGGCCACTCTCCATGTATCCACCTGTCCCTCCGTGGCTGCCGGGCTGACTCACTTCTGATGCTAACAAGAACGAGAGGCGTCCGGCTGGACTAAGGCCCCGGAAGCTGAGAACCGGAGGGCGGGCGCGGGCGTTGGGCAGAGCAGCTCCAGCAGGCAGGACCTGGGGCCTCCACCCTGCACCCCTGTGCCCTGCCTGTGGCAGAACCGCCCCGAGGGGAGGCTGTCTCCACGGTGACAGGCACTCCCACGTGAGCCTTAGAACCCTCCGCCCTGCCTTTTTCTGTAATCACCGCAGGCATTTCTCGGGCAGGTCAATCCAGTTCCAGCTGGTGCTGCCTCCCTTGTCTCGTGAGTTTATTTTAGAACCCTGAGCAATAATGAAACGACACTACCCTACAACAGACGTGGCAGAGGATCTGGCTGGCTCTTCACTTCATCAGAGATCACCCCGAGATGATTGTTGTTGTTAAGAAAACGGGAGAGATACCTGTTGTAAGCGATGAGCTATAACTTACCCAATCAAACGTTGCTATTAAAAATCAAAGAGGGTATTAAAATTTCATCACTGTTAGGTTTGTGGCCGAAATCTAATGACAGAACAAATTGGATGTTTGCACAAAGAAAAGGATAATCTCTTTTTAATGCTCCTGTTATTCTTGGACAATTGATGGGCATTTATTTCTGACAGCTGAGTCGTTGGGGACAGAATTGCTTCTTTTAAATTATGACAGAGGCCAACTTTTTGCTGTTGTTTTTATGGAAGAATGCACTGACACGTAGAGGAGGATCGGAGAAGCTCAAGGCCTGCAGGGCGGCCTTGGCCTTGACCGTGGCTGCGGGGGCCTTTGGCCGGCCTGCCGTGGCATCTGGGGACAGCCTGAGGCTTTGCTGCTTCCTCTGACAGCTCCTGAGGCCTCGGAAGAAATGAAGCCCTCCATGGACATGGAAATTGTTTTGAGGCAAAATATTTCAGCAAAGATGAGAAGTTCCTCCTTCCTTACAACACACAGACTCCGCCTGCTCCTTGCTGGAGATGTGGCTTTCTTGTCTCTTTTTCAAACCCTGCCACCTTCCAGGCACCCAGTAGAAAGCCAAGAGGGATGAATGAATGAGCCCGCGGCATCACCCACAATGGCACACCAGCTTATCCTCCCACTCCACTCTGCAGATCCTGCCTTCACCACTGCTGTCCATGCGGCCTCTTCCTGGGGGATTTGCAGCTCCAAGGCACTCTCAATACATATCAGAAAAAATAAAACTAGCAGGCCGGGCGCGGTGGCTCAAGCCTGTAATCCCAGCACTTTGGAAGGCCGAGACGGGTGGATCACGAGGTCAGGAGATCGAGACCATCCTGGCTAACACGGTGAAACCCCGTCTCTACTAAAAAATACAAAAAAACTAGCTGGGCGAGCTGGCGGGCGCCTGTAGTCCCAGCTACTCAGGAGGCTGAGGCAGGAGAATGGCGCGAACCCGGGAGGCAGAGCTTGCAGTGAGCTGAGATCCGGCCACTACACTCCAGCCTGGGCGACAGAGCGAGACTCCGTCTCAAAAAAAAAATAAAAAATAAAAAAAAATAAAAATAAAATAAAACTAGCATACCAATGCATGATTTCACAGAGATGGGGCCAGGCTAAGTCAGCTGACATTTTAGAATTATTACAGGAAGCATAGTACAGCTGGCAATCTGTTACACGTAGCTACACAGGCTGTGTACTTGCAGTTCCAAGCTGTGGTGTTCAGAGTCTGCCATTGACAAGGTTCTGTGGAGTTGAGCAGTGCACAACCTATGCAACTGCCCAGTGCAGCCCTGGTTCCTGATACACAGTTAGGATGAAGCATGGGGGAGGTGGGCAAGTGACTCACTCGAGCTTGGGAAATGATGTTCAAGGCAACCACAGGGCTCCTTAGGTAAACGGATCTTTTTTCAGGGGAGAGGGGAGACAGGATCTCACTCTGTTGTCCAGGCTGGAGTGTAGTGGTACAATAGCCGCTCACTGCAGCCTCAACTTCCCAGGCTCCAGTGATCCTCCTGCCTCAGCCTCCCTAAGTGCTGGGATAACAGGCGTGAGCCAACTGATCTTCTTTTTTAAACCTCTACACTAAGCTGAATTCAATGCAGTTTCTGTCATCTATTGGCGTTCAGTGTTTGGACGCTGTCTGGGCTGAGTGCTTCACCAGGCTCCAGGGACTCAAGTCCTGACGGCTGGAGGAGCAGCAGCCCCTCACCTTGGGCACAGGGACCTGAGTGCGCAGGGAGGAGGCACAGCAGGGAGGGGTGGCGGGATCTCCCAGGCTCTCCTGGCTCATGGTCCCGCAGGCAGGGCTCAGGCCTGCACAGCGAGGTCCTCACGCCGCCATCTCTGCCTCCCAGGACCCCGGCCATGATCGGCTGCTCCTTCGTGGTGGACCGCGAGTACTTCGGAGACATCGGGCTGCTAGACCCTGGCATGGAGGTGTACGGTGGCGAGAACGTAGAACTGGGCATGAGGGTGAGTGTGGTCACGGTGTCCGGGGACAGAGTGAGGCTGAGTGAGGCCGTGGCATCTGAGGACAGGGTGAGGGCGAATGCGGCCGCGGTGTCTGGGGACAGGGTGAGGGTGAGTGAGGCCACGGCGTCTGGGGATGGGGTGAGGACGAAGAGGCCATAGCATCCGGGGACGGGACGGGGTGGGGGGTGAGGGCAAGTGCGGCTGTGGCATCTGGGGATGGGGTGAAGGCAAGTGCGACCACTGTCTAGGGACAGGGTGAGGTCCAGGGCTCCTGCTCAGAGCACTGAGGCCTCTCCGGAGCCTGGGCTGAGGCAGCTGGAAGCCAAGCTGGGCAGCCAAGGCCCCCACGGCCCCTGAGCTGGAGTTAGGAACAGAGAGAAGGGGCTACCCTGAGTCTCGCTAGAAGTTTGGTGGCAATGTTGCTGAGAAATTCTGTAGAATCACAAAAGATGGCATTTCCCACGTCTACTTTATTTTTCAAGCCCTGTGTGTTGCTGTTATGTGAATTGCCCCCAGGCGACAATGGATTGGGACCTTAGAAAAGTGGGTCCTTCAGCACAGAGGGCGGGGGCAGTGGTGGTGACCCCAGGCCGTCCTCTGTGCCTCTGTCTTGGCTCAGTGTGGAGGGCAGGGTGTAGAGGGAGGTGGGGGTGCCTGGGGTCCCCATGAGGAGCCATGGCAGGGACCTGGGGTGCAGCCTGTGTAGTACTGGGGGGCCCTTGGGGTGCAGCTGGGAAGGCCTGTGTAGAACTGGGGGCCTGCGGAGGGCAGGTCTCAGCTCTATGCCCCACGCCTTCGAGGAACACAGGAGGCCCAGGCCAGCCCAGCAGGCTCCCCCTGGCTGCCCGCCCGGCTACCCAGTGAGGCCTGTCCCAGAGGGAGAACCATGAGCCTCCGCCCCTCCGTCCCACCCTCTTCCCCGTTTCAAACCTCCCACGGTGGCTTAGGGAACTGATGGAAAGTTCTGGAAGAAGCTGAGTTACGAATGAGGGAATCCAGAGTGGCCGAGGTCGTTCTCCTCCTGGACTCCCTCAGCTCAGACTGGCCCTCGCCCTGCGGGGCAGGGGCTTCGTGGCACTGTGCTCAGGGCCCGGCTGCTCCAGAGGCCGGAGGCTGGTGCAGCCGCAGTGGGCAGGGAAGAAATGGAGGCGGTGGGCAGGCAGGGCCTGGGGCCGTCTCAGTACCACCCACTCCTGCTCCAGGTGGAATGGGAGGTGGAGCTTGGAGTGGGCCCAGCGTCCTCCTCCAGGGACCCCTGTGGCCTCTGTGATTCCTGGGGTGGCAGAGGACAGACCGCAGGGGGTCTGGAGACCTCACCCCGAGTCAGAGCCAGGAGACCTGGGCTCCGGGCCACCAGGGAGGAGGGAGATGGGGGTGAGGGGGATGAATTCCGTGCGATTTGTGGGTGGAACGAGGGGGTGTAGGGGTCACAGGAGGCCCTGCAGTTGGGCCTGTGCAGCTGGGAAATAGCTGTGCCCACCGAGGTGAGGAGACACTGCTTCCAGACGTGGAGTGCTAGGAGCCTGGAGGACCTGGGAATCCCCCACTTGTCACAGGACCAGCCCTGTGGCCCCCAGAGCCCCTGCTGGGCAGCGTGGGTCTCAGGCTGCAGCTTAACCGGAGGGGGTGCTTGTTGCTGGCCAGGGTCACAGAGAGCCCCGAGCAGGCCCCAGGCACCGTCACTGTGCCGGAGAGGCCGGGGCGCGAGGAGGGCCTGGGGCTCCATCCGCCAGCGTGGCTCTGCTGCCCCATCTGCTTTCTGAGTATTTTGTGCAGAAAAGTTCAACGCATCATTTTATTCTGAAAAGAGATAAAACTGGGTTTGGACTTAGAGATGGCGTGGCCCAATCTACCGCCTCCGTTGAGGGCTTCGTCACACCAGGCAGGGCTCGGCGAGCTGTGAAAGGAGGCTTGGTGAGAGCTGCGCAGGCCTCGTGGCAGAGGCTTTCAAAGGCTGTGTGTGGTGTGGGGTGCCGAGGATGCCGCTTGGAGAACCCCCTTCCTGCAGGGGTTGCTGTGAAGCTTTTGAGGCCGGGTGTGTGAGACTCGCTGGCAGCCAAGTCCCTGCCGTGAGCCAGGTGCTGCCCATGCAGTTTCTTTGCCCCCATGGCCCTGCAGGCGCCTGCCCGGGGTCAGTGAGCCCCCTTCACAGGGACCCCACGGAGGCAGAACGGGTGTGTCTGAGCCGGGGCACCCAGGCGGGAGCTAAGCCCCAGCTGGTCTGGGTCTGTCACCGCTAGTCAGCCCCGTCTCTAACACGGAGGTGCTGCCCTGGAGGTCAGTGCAGGATTCGCAGATCCTGGGCGTGTTCGTCTCGGGGGTGGCAGGAACAAAATAGCAAAGACTGCGGGGATTACAGCCACAGGGATTCATCCTCTCACTGCTCTGGAGTCTGGAAGGCTGAAATCCAGGCGGCGGCAGGGCCAGGCGGTCAGAGGCTCCCGGGAGGATCCATCCTACCCCTTCCAGCTTCAGGTGCTGCGGGCTGCCCAGCGTTCCCGGGTTCGCTGCCCCAGGCACCGGCTGCCGTCTTCCCCCCGTGTCCGCCATCATCTTCCCTCCCGGCTTGTCTTCCCCTCTTTATAAGCGCACCAGTCACGCTGGACAGGGCCCACCCTGACAACCCCCTTTTAACTAGTTATCACGGCAGAGACCCTATTTCCAAATAAGACGACATTCTGAGTGTCGGGGGTTCAGCCTCCAGCATGTTTTTTTATGGCACAGTTTCTTCCTAATAGGGATGTGCTGTGTGTTGCTGTGTGGTTGTGATGAGTTAGGATCTGAGTAGGGAGCACTGGAGCCTCCGGAGGGACCCGGGGATGAAGGAGGAGACGCCGATTCTGTTTCCACCCTGCAGTCCTGAAGCTGAACTTCCTGAAGAAGTGGGAAGCCCGAGGAAGCAGTGTCCGGCCCAGGGGAAGCAGGGGGCTTGGCTCAGTGGCTCTGGGGACCCGAGAGTGAAGCCACGACAGAGGACTTGCCCTGTGCACCCGGGTTTCCCAGGCCCATGCCTGGGAACGCCCAAGCATGGAGGCCTTTCCTGGCTGTTCACCGCTAATCCCCTGGGTCTCCCGAGAGTCCCGGAGGGCAGTGGGTGCCATGACAGCCTCCGGGCCCCTCCAGGCTGAAGATCTGGGGGCTCAGGGTGCTGGGTCCAGTCCCGGGAGACACAGAAGCCTGTGAGACGTGGTGCAACCAACCAGATAGGACCACCTGACCACGGCTCACAGGAGCGGCCTTGAAGGCCACAGAGGCTGTCACCAAATACTCTAGCCTGTGGGTCCAGCCCGGAAAACGTGTGGTCACATGGGACACGTGGAGAAGGGACCTGTAACGTGGACGCAGGCGCATTCAGATGCGGAGAAGGGACCTGTAATGTGGCACATTCAGATGCGGAGAAGGGACATGTAACGTGGACGCAGGCACATTCAGATGTGGAGAAGGGACCTGTAACGTGGTACATTCAGATGCGGAGAAGGGACGTGTAACGTGGTACATTCAGATGTGGAGAAGGGACCTGTAACGTGGACGCAGGCGCATTCAGATGCGGAGAAGGGACCTGTAACGTGGCACATTCAGATGCGGAGAAGGGACCCGTAACGTGGTACATTCAGATGCGGAGAAGGGACCTGTAACGTGGCACATTCAGATGCGGAGAAGGGACGTGTAACGTGGACGCAGGCACTTTCAGTTACAAGCACTTGGGGGTTCCTAACGCCAACAGCGGGAAGAAGACACAGTGAAAAATGGCAGTGGCACCGTCTCTGCTGCAGACGCCGGGGGCGGCCCTCAGTGCAGGTGCTTCACCTGGTGTTTGTAACTCCCGGGTCACACCAGGTCCCTGAACACCAACCAGTGCCTGGGTCCATCCGGTGCCTGACCCAGGAGAGACGCAACAGCCTCGAGTCTGACCACATCACTGCGCCACGCACACACTGTGTGAACGGGGCCTTCCCAGGCGGCCACCAGACACACCCGACCCGCAGGCTCTCCCACTGCATGGCCCGCACGCTCCTCGTCCGCGCACCCTGACTGCAGAGACAGTGCCTGGCCCCTCCGCCGTGAGTCTGGGCCGGCCCGAGCGACCGTCCACTGTAGGGCTCAGCTGGCTCCGTGCTGAGTGACTCTCGAGGCTGGGCCGTAATCCACACACAGCCTCCGCCTCGTGCTCCCAGAACCTCCGGGATGCCCTCCTGTGAGGAAGCCCATCAGCCGGGTAGAGACGGGACCAGGGGTTCTGCCCCGCCCTCGCCAAGGTCACAGCCGACAGCCAGAGGGACATGAAGGAGCTTCCAGGGGATTCTGGCCCCAGCCTCCAAGTCTTCCCAGCAGAAGCGCAGACGCCACAGGCAAGACGTCGTCCCCGCTCTGGCCTTTCCAAGTGTGTGACCCACAGAATCCGTGCTCCTAACAGGAGCGGCAGATGCGTCCGGCCCCATGGTCCAGACAGCTCGTTAGGCGGCGGCAGCTCATCCAGACGCATCCATTTCGGACCCGCCCTCAGCAAGCAGCTCCCACCCTGGGTGGGTGGGTGGGGGGCCCAGGGGAACAGAGGGCGTCCCACAGTGTGCAGCCCTCCCCCTGCTCTGCCTCTGCCTGAGACAGTTTCCGTCGGTGTGAATGGGGCAGCAGCCTGCCCCACGGAGGGCAGGAGAGTCACAAGGCACATAAACCATGGTCCCACAGCACCTGCCACGGTGTGAACTAACCGGCATCCGTGTCACCCAACAGCGGGCGTGGACGATGTGCCAGGCCCTACCCGAGTGCCTTTCCTTCCGTACCCCGGCTAATCCTCCCCACGCCCCTGGGCAGATGGGCCCCACTCACGTTCCCACTTCACAGAAGAGAAAATCGCGTCTGAGGAGGCTGAGCTGGGAATGTCCCCGGAGCAGGACTCCTGGCCCAGGAATCCCCGAGCAGCATCTGCTTTTGGCACCGTGGTGGCAGAGCGGCTCCTGCAGCTCACGGAGACGTAACGGCCCTCAGGCCAGGCCGCACCT